TCTCAACCTAAATCACATGTGTTGCACATGAAAAATAGATTTTGAAAATAAATAATTATTTTTCAAAGATCATATACTATATTTTGATGGTTATGAGAGGTAATAAAGAGAAACTAAAGGAAATAGAAAAAAATGAATAAAAATGGACTATTTTGTTATTTTTATATTTTTAGAGTTATTTTTATAATTTTCGAAAACTATCGGGGTGTTTTTGCTTAAAACTAATGAAAATCCGTTAAGTTTAATGGAAATTTGGCCAATTGAGTGGAATTGACATAAGTTTCAAACAGCAACTTTTTTTTATATATATTTTATACTCAGAAAGTCTCCTGACTTAGTTTTTTTGATGGAAACTAAGTGCACTTCCTCTACAATAACTCATATAGAAAATGTTGAACGGATGAATGGTGTGTGTTTTAGTAGTCATGGAAGGTCTGGAGGTTTAGCATTATTGTGGAAGAAAAGTACATATGTGGATTTAAAAGGAATGAGTGAAAGATATATTGATGCGTTTGTGGACTGTGGAGGCCAAAGATACAGGTTTACAGGAATCTATGGTGAACCTGATTTGTCCAAACGACGTCAAGCTTGGCAGCAGTTGAAATCACTGAGACATGATCCTGAAATTCCTTGGCTGTGTATAGGCGATTTCAATGAGGTTCTGTATCATCATGAAGCTGAGGGTGCTGGAAGACGATCAGACACTCAAATCAATAATTTCAGGGAATTTTTGGATTTCTGTAATTTGTCGGATATGGGTTATTACGGCCCCAAATTCACATGGCAGCGGTTGCGAGTTACTCCATTCACGCAGAGATCTCTTCTTGATCGAGCAGTGTGTAATCCTCAATGGGAAGCTGTCTTTTCATCTCAGAATCTTCAACACTGTCCAGCACTCAACTCTGACCATCTTTTCCTTCATTTGAAATTTCATTTCCGCAACCATCAAGGTAGTCGCAGATCACTGAAGATTTTCAGGTTTGAAGCCATGTGGCTAAAATCAGCTGACTGTGAAAGGATTGTTAGGGAATCATGGAATCAGGATCCAATGGATTTACGATCAAAAATTGATAATTGTGCTTTAGGCTTGATGCAATTGGGGGAGGGGGAGGGAACAGGTGAGAGTTATTTCAAAAAGGATTGATGTGCCGAAAAAGACAGTTCACTCACTGGAGCAAGGAATTATCACGGATGAGGTGAAGACCAAAATTTGTGATTTGAGATCTGAATTGGAGGTTTTGCTTGAACAAGAAGACTTGAAGTGGAAGCAAAGAAGTAAACAACATTGGTATAGAAATTGAGACATGAACTCTAAATTCTTCCATGCACGTGCAAATAAACGGAAGGAAGTGAACCATATCTCATCATTGAAGGATAGCAATGGCCAGGATTGTGTTGAAAAGGAGGATTTAGAGCGAATCATCACTGGTTATTTTGGAGATTTGTTTAGTACCTCTAATCCTTCAAGGACAGATATACAACAAGCACTTAGTAGAATCCGTCCTAAAGTGACTTCGGAGATGAATGCTCGATTAACAATACTATTTGCCGAAGCTGAAATCGTAAGAGCTCTTAAGCAAATGAGTCCTTTTAAATCTCCTAGACCGGATGGTACGTCTCCTATCTTTTTTCAAAAATTCTGACATATAGTTGGTTTCGATGTTATAAAATTTGTTTTGGATTTCTTAAATCGTAAACCTCTAAGTCATTCAATAAATTTCACTTATATAGTTCTCATTCCAAAAATTAAAAAGCTTGATTTTATTAGTCAGTTTCGACCTATCAACTTGTGCAACGTAGTTTACAAGCTAGCATCTAAAGTCCTTTCAAATAGAGTCCATCACATATTGCCTTCTATCATAAGTGACTCCCAATCTACTTTCGTCCCTGGTTGATTAATAACAGATAATATTTTGATTGCTTATGAAACGTACTATTACATGAAGTCAAGAACATCGGGGAATTTGGGTTTAATGTATCTCAAACTTGATATGAGCAAGGCATTTGATAGAGTGGAATGGTTATTCTTAGGTGAGATAATGAGGGTTTTAGCTTTAGATACTAATTTTGTGGATTTAATAATTCACTGTTTATCAATGGTTTCTTTTTATTTCCTTTTAAATGGAGTTCAATTTGGTCACTTACTGCCACGGTATTAGACAGGGAGACCCACTGTCTCCTCATCTATTCATCATTTGTTCTGAACTTTTCTCGTGTATACTAAAAGACTTACAGGCTTGCAGACGAATTCATGGCATTGCAGTTGGAAGAGAAGCTCCTTCAATTTCTCACTTGCTATTCGCAGATGATACACTCCTATTTGGACATGCAACGGTGGATGAGGCATTGATGTTCAAATTTGCTATTCAGTTATATGAGAGAGTATCAGGGCAAAGGATCAACATGGAGAAATCAAGTATACTTTTCAGCCCGAATACGGACTAAAATGTAGCTGCGCAAATATTCTCCACTCTTGGTATTCCTCAGGTTTTGAAACATGACAAATATCTAGGATTGCCAACAGTCTCTGGCCGCAGCAAGAAGGAGTTGTTCAGCTCAATTAAAGATAAGGTTTGGCAGTGACAAGCCGTCGTCACAACTAGTCAAATAAATTCACCTATTTAACACTAGTATAGCGAAAAATAGGGTCGTACCCACAGAGAAGGAACACTAATTACCAGATATAAATTACTCATATTATTATCTAGATAAATGATGATCTAAGATTTTCAATTAAAATAAAACTAAAGCTAAAATCTAAAATATGCAATTACTTTCAAAGGTTGAAACAATCAAGGTGGGAAAACCTAGGACATTGGGTTCACCTACCGAATATTTAGTTTGCTTCAATTCATAAATATTTGGCTTTTAACTTCCATTAATCTCACAATGACTCACTTAATTAAGAACTATACACTCTCGTGTTATAATTCTCTTACTTAAATTAACCCTATGACTACTCTCGTGACTATAGGGATTAAACAAAAGCACATTAAGACCATTAAGAATCAAACATGCAAAGGTTATAATCTTACTCTCGTAGCTTACACCCTAAGTCTATTATTCTTACGAACTAATACTAATCTTCCACTCTTGCTACTTCGATTAGTATCTTCAGACATGCAAATAGTGGCCAATTACTTACACGGATTAAAACAAGAATAATACATATTAATTAATGAAAAAATCAAATAATAATGAACTAAATAAACCAAATAAATCCGGCGGCTACATCCAAGCCCTAGACTAAAATAATTTAGCCACGAAACATTATTAAAAACAATTCAATAATATTTAGAGATATTATCCAAAAATCTGAATTAAATAATTAAACAAAAGAACTCGAAAGATTGCGATTGCGCCGAAACTGAAAGCTAGAAATCAAGTCAAAGCCTGCTGCTTGCTTTGGTTTGTTCAGCACCCGCTTCTTCTTGGCTGCGGAAAGCTTCAGATTTAATGGTAATGACTGCGTGAGCTGGAGGAAGCTACTTATGGTTTTGTGCGAAGAGAGGTGGTTCGGTGAAGGCTCGGTAGTGTCTCAAAAATAAAACCCATGGCCCCTTTTATAAGGGTCTCGACTACTATTAACTTGCAGGGGAAGAAAACCTAGTTTCATTACAATTCTTCTCCCGGAATTTTACCGGGTGCTTGACTTCAGGGTGAGTTAGACTCAAATTTGTGGACCGAAAAATGTGTAGGGTTTAAAAACTGAATAAATATAATGTTCTCGCGCTTTCAAAACGCGAAACAAGAAAATTAAATTAACAATCGCGTTTGTGAAACGCGAATCCTTTTAATTATTTTTTTCCCAAATTCAACCGGGACGAAAGAAAAAAAATTGAATAGAAAAAGGAAAACCAAAACTGGCGTTCTAGAAACGCGAAAAATATAATTCGTGTTTCAGAAGCGCGAAAAAAAGTTTTCGCGTTTTAAAAATGTGAAAAGCTATAAATTTTAAATTTTAAATAAATTGCGGGTTGAAAATAACAATTTAGCGTTTTGAAAACGCGAAAAAAAAAATTTAGCGTTTTGAAAGCGCGAAAAATGATTTTAGCGTTTTAAAAACGCGAAAATATCCAGAAAATCTCCTCAACCACTCATTCGACCCCACGTGTATTTTGATGATAAGTCTTGAATGTATTCGCGTTTTGTAAACGCGAAAGTTAAGATTCACATACCAAACCAAGCAAAATAACAACATTTCTTCCCAAGTTTTTTTCATTCTGTTGAGCTCCGATTTTTCTTCCCAAACTTCTTTCATTCTGTTGAGCTCCGATTTTAAGTTTCACTCCGGAGGACTTAACTGAATCCGTGAAAGCTCTTATTTCCTTCAAATTGAGAAGTTGCTTCGAAGTTAAAGAAGATTGATTTGAGTCCTGAAGCCTATTTAAAACCCTAAGTTTCAACATTCAGGTAAGTTTATTTTGTTATAGAAAACATATACTTTTTTATGCCTTATTGTGAGCATAGGATGATTTACGCATTATTATTAGTTAATAAAGAATTGTGATTTAGTCAATTAACGGTGGTTTTTTAATTAGGCTGATAAAGTGAATTGAAAGAAATATTAGTTAATAGAATGTTAAATTAGATGAGCTTTGTAAATTATTATATATCGATTTCTGTAAAATAAAATAAAATTATAATAATGATATTGATTTTTTGAATATTTTTAGCATAAGAATAAATTATGAAATTCCGGCATATGATTTAGATTTAATATTAATTTTTAGCATAGAAATGAATTTGTAAATTCAGGCGTATAGTTGTTCTTTTGAAATTATTAAATCTGTAAACGGGGTAAATACTGTTTTCGCAAAACTAAAATTCAAAATGTATTCTAGTGTTCTGATTTCGTAGGAATTGATTTTGCAGGCTGCAAATGTCTTTCACGGAGACAGTTCGTCTGAAAGTATACTGGAATACTACTTATACAACCGAACTCGATGGGACTATCACGGACAGTGGGATGTGCGGACGGTTATCTTATCATTGATCGTATGTTAGATTTCTCAGAACTTGTTGATAAGGTATATGGTGTGATGGAAGTTGATAGAAAAGGGTTGTATATTGATTTTTCTTTGGTATGGACGGAGAGATCAGGAAAAAGGTCTCGTGTGCACATTAATGATGATAATACTGTTCGGTTCATTTATCTTTGTGCTGATAAATGGCCAGAATTGTACCCTGAAAATGTTGAGAGAATATGCCATGTTTATGCAAGTACATCTGGCCAGGATATTAGTGCCAGCACTAGTGGTGGTAGAACAGTTGAAGACAATAAAGATGAAGATGGAGATGAAGATGAAGATAAAGATGAAGATGAAGATGAAGATGGCGGGGGTGTCGAAAGCAGTGATGATGAGTACGTCCCATCGGATGAGGACTCAGATGACGACACTGATTTTGAGTCATCTTCTTCAGTCCCATATGTTTTCGACGACATCAGTGGATGGGACAAGACTTTAGAGGAAGTAGATTGTGATGGGATTAAAATGTGGGATGGCAATCCGTTGACGCTAGGCCTTGATGTACATTTCACCAACAAGCCTGAGGCACAGGCGGCAGTGGGAGAATGGAACTTGGTACATGGTCGGACTTTCCGGGTAAAAACGAGCTCTAAACGAACATGGTATGTCAAATGTGAGACCTGTGGATCCAAATATCCGAAAGAGCGTCTTCACAGCTATGATTGCCTGTGAAAGGCGTGAGTTTCGCTACAGAAGGCCACCGGTACTTGGAAAATGGTGGTATGGTCCGATTCCCACAACTGTCTGGGGGCAAACAAGAGAAACGAGTCCCGAAACGTCACGTTTTCTATGATTGCTAGACTGGTTGCCCAAAATGTGCGAAAACATCCAGATTTTGCAGTTGCCCAAATTCAAATAGAAGTTTTGAAGAGGTACCAAGTCGAATGTAGCTACAAGAAGGCATGGCATGGTAGAAGAAAAGCACTTGAGGCTCTGTATGGTACATGGGAAAGTAATTTTCAACAACTGCCCAGCTTCCTTAATGCATTGTTCATGTCAAACCCGGACACCTGTGTGCAATTCAAGTTTAAGGAAAATTAAGGAAGCTCGCAAAGGTTTGTATGTAGGTATGTTTTTTGGGCATTTGGGCCACCTATACAGTTATTTCATGCTTGCTGGCCAGTAATAACCATCGATGCGAGTCACCTGCGACGATCCTACAAAGGAAAACTAATTGTGGCATGCGTGAAGTGGGCAAATGGCACAATTGTTCCCATTGCATTTGCTCTTGTGGACGAAGAGACCATACACAGCTGGAAATGGTTCTTGAAGTATTTGAAAAAGTTTGTTCTACAGGATAGGAAGACCTGTATTATCTCTGATAGAAATCAGGGTATCCTTATTGCCATGGACATCATGTTGCAAAAATTTCCAGAGATAGAAGTCCACCGGTATTGTCTAGAACATGTTAAAGCAAACTTGGTTGGGCATTTTCGAAAGGAGAAACTGGGAGGCAACTGTCAAATGATTGGTTCAGCGACGCAAAAGACAAGATATTTGGCAGAGTGGCAAAAATTAGAAGAAAAAAATGACAAGGCAGCTCGTTGGCTTCAGAAGCTGGGTGTTGAGAAATGGACCTGTTTACACGATGGAGGGCATCGTTGGGGAGAAATGACCACTAACATTTCAGAGAGTTTCAATAATGTGCTGAATGGTGCTAGATTCTTCCCGATCACAGCTTTGATCCTAGCATCCTTTCAGAAAAGCAACAATCTGTTTCAGGCAAACATTGATATGATCCAGAAATGTCAGAATGTTCTACCTCCTAAGCCCATGAAACTGTATGAAGAGGCCCGGAAGAAATCATTGAGGCAAAAGGTCAACCGGTTTTGCAAGAAAAACCAGAAGTACGAAGTGGTTACAATAGCACCTGATAATCAACAATGGAAGGCTGAGGAGAAGCAAGTTGTGCTCTATGTAGATCGAGAGTGCACTTGCGGAAGGTGGCAGACTTTCAGATTTCCTTATTCCCATGCACCTCGAGTTGCCCGTGGGCTAGGTGACGACCCCTTCCCACTTTTTGATCCATGTTACAGTATGCATCAATGGTACCAGCAGTTTCCTGGAGAATTCAACCCAATCATGGAACCATGGCCAAAGGCAACGTGGCAGATCAGGCCAGATAACACTAAACTTGTCCACCATGCTGGCCGGGGTCGGAAGCGTGTGAATCGGAAAAAAGGTGTGATGGATTATACAAGCAAATCTGGCCAGCGAAGACTCCAAACTTGCAGTTTATGTAAACCACAGGGCCATAATGCCAGGGCTTGCCCATATGCGAGAGTTTGCGCACGATGTGGAAGTTTAGATCATGATGCCGTGGAATGCCCATTTTCTCATCCACCTGCTGACAGGACTGTTATTGATAAACTTTACGATCCATATGGAATTCGTGGTGTGCCTAATATCAATTCTGATGATTCTGATGATGCGTAGTGATGATTTTCCTTAAGATGCGTAGTGATGATTCTGTTAGTGTTTGTATTTGTGTGTTGTTTTGAACATTCATGTAATAAACCTCAGAGGATGAATCTATTTGCATTTGTATTTGTGTTAGTGTGTTGGTTTGGATGTTTGTGTGATAAACTCTAACCATTTTCAATTTATATTAGTAATATTTTTTAAAAAAAAACGTCGGTCTTCGTCATTATGTATTAAAAATGTAGTACTAATTATTACTATAGGGGTGGAGTGATACTATATACATGTCGTATAAAGTACTAATTATCTTGGGTGTTGTTTTGAACATTCATGTAATAAATCAATGAGGATGATTTTGTTTGCGTTTTTATTTGTGTTAGTGTGTGGGTTTGGATGTTTGTGTGATAAACGCTAAAGGATCATTCACTTAGTGTGAGTTGTTAGGGTTTAGGGTAACAAAACTAGTTATTTGTTTATTCATTTTATGATAAACAAAGTTGGCTCAGTTATCATAAACGTTAAATTAGTTGTGTAAATAAAATTATTTGTCTAAATTACCAAAATACCCCTGGACTCCAGTATAAAATAATGGATATTTATGTCTTTTCGGTCGGTGGACCGATTTTTGTGGATTAATCCGTTTTAAACTAAAATCGCATTTCCGAAACGCGAAAAAATGTTACCATAAGTTGATTTCGAGTTTCAGAAACGCGAATTTGGGGATAGAAGCCATTTCGCGTTTCTGAAACGCGAATTCTTGTGGGTTAAATCCCAGTTTTCGCGTTTCGGCTTAATTCTATTTCTTTCTTTCCCGGTGGCCGGCGTACTCCATTGAAACCGGCAATTTTTCTGGAATCGTTGCCGGAAGCGAGTTTCAGCATCAATTTTTTGCATTTTGTGGGCTACATATCGAGGTAAGTTGTTATTTTGCTCTCATTTAATCGTTTTTTTTAATTCATACTTTAAATTCCGAATCCTAAAAGTTTTGTGTTGGTTTTTATTTTAATTTTAATTCGCGATTTAATACTCCGTTAATAGATCTAGTATTATAGGTGGTGTAGTTGTGGATTTTTTTAAAAAATTCGGGATTGGGGGAGATGAGAAAAATGCCGGTGGGTATGAAGGGAAAAGGGGGTTGCCGGCGGGGGGTGTCGGGGGAATTGCAGGGGGTTAGAGGGGGGTAGGCGGCGGGGTGGGCTTAGGGTTGTGGGGTGTTGGGTTTAGGGGGTTTAGGGTTTGGGGGATTGGGTTAGGTTTAGAATGTGGGTTTGGGTGTATAGGAGTGGGTATTGGGTTGGTTTTAGGGGGTTGGGTATTGGGTTGGGTTTAGAAGGGTGGGCTTAGGGTTGTGGGGTGTTGGTTTAAGGGGGTTTAGGGTTTGGGGGATTGGGTTGGGTTTAGAATGTGGGTTTGGGTGTATAGGGGTGGGTATTGGGTTGGGTTTAGGGGGTTGAGTGTTGGGTTGGGTTTAGAGGGATGGGTTTAGAGGGTTGGGTTTATAAGGTTGGGTATTGGGTTGAATTTTTTAAATATATATAGATAATTAGGATAATAAAAGGATAATAAATATTAATCCGTACTTACTAAAATTTAGGGTCGGATTTTTTAATGTATAGCATAATAAATATTGATAAATATTAATCCATACTTACTAAAATTTAGGGTCGGATTTTTTAATGTATAGGATAATAAATATTTGTAAATATTAATCCGTACTTACTAAAATTTAAGGTCAGATTTTTTAATGTATAGGATAATAAAAGGATAATAAATATTAATCCGTACTTAATAAAATTTACGGTCAGATTTTTTAATGTATAGAATAATAAAAGGATAATAAATATTAATCCGTACTTACTAAAATTTAGGGTCGGATTTTTTAATGTATAGGATAATAAATATTGATAAATATTAATCCGTACTTACTAAAATTTAGGCTCAGATTTTTTAATGTATAGGATAATAAAAGGATAATAAATATTAATCCGTACGTACTAAAATTTAGGGTCGAATTTTTTAATGTATATGATAATACATATTGATAAATATTAATCCGTACTTACTAAAATTGTTTGTAAATTGTTATAGCCATAGACATTGGATCATCTTCTTCCTCCCAATGTACCTCAAAGAAGTTACGGCAGGGACCTAGAGACAATAGTTTGTTGTTCCTCCAAAACGCTCATAGGTCACATAATGTATTCCATGGTACACAGTATGATATAGAGATTTCAGAGCCCAGGTGCGTAGATAGCGCAGCGTGGAAATATATAAAAGATGCACCGACGATGACAAAGGAATACATTGAGAAATTTAGTTTTGGACCGTTTTCTAGAGTTGGGTCCATAAGATGTGACCATGCCCTACTTACAGCTCTTGTGGAGCGCTGGCGCCCAGAGACCCATACTTTTCATTTACCTTTTGGGGATGCTACTATCACACTGCAGGACGTTGAGGTTCTTTTGGGGCTTCAGGTTGATGGACGTCCGGTTACAGGACATCACACCACGCCTGAAGGTGGTTGGGCTGCCTATTTGGAGAGGATGTTTGGATTTAGGTTCCAGACAGAGGAGTCTAGACTGACGAGCGTTTCCATCACTGAAATAAAGACTCACATAGAGAACAATTCTTTGACGGACCAGTCCCCTGACGATGCACACCTACAACAAGCCCGTTGTTTTGTTGGATGGCTAGTTGGCAGATTATTGTTCTCTAACACTACGAGAAACAATTTTCCACTCGATCTTGTGCATTTTCTTCATACTCCCGAGATTTGCTCGGAGTACAGTTGGGGTAGCGCGACACTATGTTACTTGTACCGCAACATGTCCAAGTCATCTCTGGCCGCTTCTGCAAAGGCTATTACAGGCGGATACCCGGCGACACATTGCTTCTCACTGTGGGGGAAATTACTAGCCTGCTCAAGAGGAAGCCGTTTGGAGGATCCGATAGGAGATGGATACAACAACTAGGGATATATCTCCAGGTTTGGAATGATCGCCACGGCAGACTTGTGGGGACTGATGATGATTATGTTGGCGAGCCTACAGCAGATCCGGAGTATCTCTTGTGGTACCATCAGGTTACTGTAAAGTATGTTACGGATCTGAAGGACTCTAAAATGCGAGGGGTTTTCACGGCTCTGCAGAGACCTTGCGCCTCATGGTGAGTATTTTGCCTACAGTCCATTATGTAATTTATTTTCATTGCTATCGATTTATGATTCTTTCTAACAAAAATTTCAGGCCACATTGATGGAGGACGTTCGTAGTCTGAGTATTATAGGCCAGCGTACTTTCGACGCGGACTCCTTTGGTTATGATCGCTTAGGCGAGATTGGCCAGGTTGCTGAGCGGGCGTTGTCCGTCAATGCAACGAATGTTGTACGTCACGATCTCGATAGACATGTTGAGGTTAATGACATTTTGAGTCAAGAACTTGCACCTGTAGACCAGACCCAGCAACATCCACCTCCCAGACCTCCGAGGCGTTCGCGCAGGTCTCAGCGTGGGCGTGGGAGGCAAGAGACAATCACGCCCACTCAGCCACATAAGTCCTCCCAGCATCAGCAGTCTCATATCCCCTTCACTGACGGTTCATCCCATCAGTCTCCACACCATTCTCTACAGCATTCATCCCATCAGTCTTCACATCATTCATCCCATCAGTCTCCACATCATTCTTCTCCGACCCAACAGGCGTTTTACCGTCCCATTATGTCTCCCCAGCACCAGCAGTCCCATTTTGCCTTCACTCAGTTTTCCTTCCCTTAGACTTCTCAGCCTCAGTTTGGAGATACTTTTATTGACTTTTCTGGGTTCCTGCAGAGTTTGCTAGATGGCCAGTCGATACATTACACGAGTAACTTTCTTTCGAGTATGTTCCAGGGTGTTGCGAGTCAGCATCAGGCTGATGACCCAGTTGGAGGTGAGCGTGAGAGTAAGGGTGAAGATGAGGATGAGGATGAGGCTGAGGATGCAGACCAGGATGATCAGTTTGAGGGTCAGGGTTATCAGCGCCATGAGGAGCAGGGATCGAGTCAGACTCTAGGGACTCCACCGTTGGCTGTGAGTAAAGGCCAGAGAGTGACGAAGGAGCCCGATAGATTGACTTATAGCCATTTTCGGGCTAAAAAGCCCAAGAAGAAGTAGGGTACTAGACTTTTTATGTAGTATTATTAGACTTGTATTTTTTTTTTCCTTTTGTTATGACTTGTTTTATTTTTTTCCCTTTTGTTATGACTTGTAGTATTTTGTTATGACTTGTATTAATATTCTTAATAGTTTGATTTCACCTGCATCGTAAATACAATAATTAATATTTATAAAACACATCTTCGCTGATCAAATCTAAACACATCTTCAAACTTTCTTATATTTTTTTAATAATTAATGTTGCTTCATCTTGTTTTTTTTTAAAAAAAAACAAACAACAAAGTATTTAGTTTATCCAAACAAAAGATATAATTCTTAGGTCTTACATACCAACCGTCTATTAAAATTACCATATCCACAAAAGAATAGTACCAGATACCTAAAACAAACATTCCGTAAACTAAAGTTCTCTTCAAAATTAAGATGCGGTGCATTAAACAATCGCATTGGCAGCACTTGCAATCCTAGGCCAAAGATCATCACACTCCTTTCCAATGGGACCACTGATTGCAGAACTTTTCATTTTTCCCTTGGGATTAACAATCACTCCAGCATTATCTTCAAAGTACATGTAGACACCGTCCTTTCAGCGCCATGGCTTGCGCTGGCGGACAATGACTGCAGGCATGACCTTCTTCCTGAGATCGGGCTTACCCTTCTTGACGGTGGCCATAACCATGTCACCGACGCAAGCAGTAGGGAGACGGTTGAGCCTACCCTTCATTCCCTTCATTGAAATGATGTAGAAGTTCTTTACCCCAGTGTTGTCGGCGCAATTCACCGTCGCAGCCACTGGAAGACCCAGAGACATCCTGAACTTGTTACCCGTCGATCCTCCGCGTCCTCGCTTCGACATTTTTGCTGTCTCCCTTGTGAGGTTTCCGAAGAACAGAAAATACTTGCTTCATCTTAAGCGTTGGTAAATTATAATAAATATTTCTTAAAATTTATTCATATTTTAAGCTTTTTTCTTATATTGAAACCGTCATTTAATATAAATAATTTGTAAATTAAATTACATCTAATTAATATAAATCCATAAAATTACATCATTTATCATTACTAAACATGTTTCATATCAAATTATTTTATAAAATAATAATTAATTTTTTAATATAATTTTTTAAAAATTTTATAAATTATAATAATTATTTCATAATTTTAATAATTTATATTTAGTATAGCTCTATTTAATTTAATGAATATCAATTATATTATTATATTCATATCAAAATTTAATTTTACTATTATTAAAATTATCAATATAATTTTTCTATTATTAATTTTCTTCTTTATAGCTCTATTCAAAATTTAATGATTATGAATTATAATTTTAAAATTTTCCTTTAATTTCATTTTTAAAATTTAATAATTTTTCGAAGTAAATTTGCCTACAATTTTTAAACTATGCAAATTAATTGAATTTTTATGACTATTTCCTTTTTTATTTAAATAAAATATTCTTTTTTATTGTTTTCGCGCTTTGAAAACGCGAAAAATAATCTTTTTTATTATTTTCGCACTTTGAAAATGCGAGACTTTAATTAAGCAAATTTTTTACCATTAATTACTTACAATTAAGTTAAATTAATTAATATAACCTATTTTTAGCGTTTTTGAAACGCGAAAATCTTCTTTTAGCGTTTTGAAAACACGATTTTGACAATTTTCGCGTTTTTGAAGCGCGAAAGAATTAGTTTTGGGGGCAATTGAAACCCTAAACTATTTTCTTCAGTAATTTTTTTAGATACATATAAGTAATTTTTCCGAATTTAATCACCCCCGCTGCATTTTTTTTTCTCTTCTCTTCGGTTTCCTTGCGGTCCAGCAGCAGCAGCACCAGACCTCCATCTCTTATTAAATCTTGGGCTTTATTAATCTTCCTTTATTAATTTGAATAGGCATGCATCAGCCAACATTTCAGCTTTGGGCTCCCATCACCATCTTCTCCATCTTTTTTTGGATAACCAGCCTTGGCCAACTAATTAATCAATTAAGACCATGCATTCCTTTCGGACAAACCCAAGAAAAAGGTCAAAACTTTCAATTCAATCCTCCAAATTTTCAAGTCTTCTGATTCCTTCCTCATTAGTTCTTATAATCTTCACTTAGGCTCTTTTTAGTTGCTCTTTCTTTTCAATTTAGTTCAAAATCTCAACAATTCTTCCATTTGAGTACAATTCCTACAATCAAAGATGAAATCATATAAATAGCATATTTGTACTCAAAACATTGGCAAATCTCGCATAAAAGGATATTAAAAATAGATAAATTATGAGCACATCAGGCAGCGAATAGAAAGCTGGAAAGAGAAGCAACTATCAAAAGGGGGGAAAGAGATTTTGATTAAAAGTGTGATCCAAGCCATCCCGACTTATGCAATGTCTTGCTTTAGGCTGCCTGATTCCACAATTCAGGAGCTTACTTCTACGGCTGCATCATACTGGTGGGGTGATGTAAGTGGCAATAGGAAAATCAGATGGATCAGCTGGAAGAAAATGGCTCAACCGAAACATCTTGGAGGGCTTGGATTTCGGGACTTGAAGAATTTTAATCTCGCTTTACTCAGCAAGCAGGCATGGAGGATCTTAACTAATCCAAACTCTCTACTGGCAAGAATTCTGAAGGCGAAATACTTTCCAACTTCCTCAATTCTGGACGCACTTCCTGGTTCACATCCTTCATTTACTTGGAAGAGTATTTTAGAAGGGAGAGATGTTCTGTTGTTAGGATGCTGTAAACAGATTCATTCAGGCCGCAATACTAGCATTTGGATGGATAGATGGTTGCCGTGCTCAGAAGATTTTCAATGTCATAGTCCCCCCTCAATCATACATCCTTCATCTCTAGTCTCGGATCTCATTGATCAATCCACAGGGAATTGGAATCAGGAACTCATCAATTCCATTTTCTCTCCATCTGAAGCTTCCTGTATTCTCTCGATGATGCTTGGTGACGCTCCTACTTCGGATAAATGGATCTGGCACCACTCAACGAATGGTCGTTTCAGCGTGAAATCTGTTTACTCAACATTAATGGCTTCTCCTAATTTTTCTGCTGATTTTCACCCCTCTGTTGCATTGACTCCTGAATACACTCTTTTCTGGAAAAAGCTCTGGAAGCTTCGCCTCCCGAATTGTATTCTCCATTTCTTGTGGCGCTGTGCTACAAGCTCCCTCCCAAGCTTAGAAAACCTGGAAAAGAGAGGCTGTTTTCCGGATCAACAATGTCCGTTATGCCACAACACCACTGGAACTACATCTCATGTGATTTTTTGGTGCAGCTACGCGACTCAGGCCTGGATTGCAGCTGGAATACGAGACTGTATTTTGAGATACCATGATCTGCGCTGGGATTCTTGGGTGAAAATGGTGATTCTGAAATGTGATCGCAAAGTGGCTGAGGTGTTTGCTGTTATTTGCAATTCGCTATGGTATGCCAGAAATGAATTTCTCTTCGAGAATAAACAAATTGCCGCACATCTCTTAGCCTCCAGGAGTGTTAACATGCTGAAAGAATTCCAAATGGCGAACGGTTCCCTGGAAACTTCATCCAGTGCCTTACGATCATGTCATTTGATGCCCCCCAGCTGATCTTCACAACTGTGTTTACTTTGATGGAGCTATTTCACAGATGAGAGGTTGTGCTGGTCTTGGGATTTATGTTAAAAATCCTTCCGGAGGCTTCAGGTTAGCCAAGGGCCGCTGCATCCCGGGAATCACTTCACCAGAGCTTGCAGAATTTTTAGCATTGAAGGAAGCCCTAATTACAATAAAAGAGATTAATCTCCAAAATGCTACAATCATGGTTTATTCGTCGGTTGCAATACTTGCATCCGTTGGGGAAGCCGATTGCTTGATAAGCTGTTTGCCAACCCTTTTGGAGATTAGGAATCTATTATTAGAGCTTGCCTTCTCTTGTTTATATTGGATTCCTAGATTGTATAATAGTGTATCTCATGTTATAGCTACCTACTCTAAATCCAATGTAACATCTAATGAAACTTGGTTGTCTCCCCGAGTTTCTTGTATAAAGCAACCAGCAACCTTAATGAAGTATTTTTTTCCTTTTCTCAAAAAAAAAAAAAAGAAAAAAAAAGGAAAAAAGAACCCCACTATCCCAAAAATACTCCCTCCAAACATTTTACGATTACGTCCCAAATTCATAATCAAGCTCCTTCACACCCTTGTCATCGGTTACCAAGAGTATTCAGTTTGAATTCAATCGACAGAAAAACTATAAGATCATTAAGACACAAAAGCTATTATTCACAATAGATTATATAGATGAGATTCAAAGCAACAAAATAGTATCATTGCTGTGGACAAAATTTTTTTTTGTTTTTTTTGTGGACATAAGTAGTTGTCCCGGATTTGGCAAAATCCGAGAGTCTAATTAAACGGTCTCTCGGATTTGTCAAATCTGACACTATTCAATATAAAAAAAATTAAATCTTTTTTATATCTCGGAAATAACGGAAAATAGGGTCAAAAGGTAAACAGTGCATTCGAATTTCTCAAATCCGAATGCATTTAAATATAATATTAAAATAATACAACAATAGTGGCGGGAAAATTCAAAAACTGGAACAAAACCTTCAGATTTGGCAAATCTGAGGTCAGCCAACTATAATATTAAAATAATACAACAGAAGTGGCGAAAAAATTCAAAAACTGGAACAGTACTTTCGGATTTGTGAAATCCGAGTTCATCCAACTATAATATTAAAATAATGCAACACGAGTGGCGAGCAAAGTAAAAAATTGGAACAGTGCCTTCGGATTTGGCAAATCCGAATGCTAGGGTTTAGGGTTTAGGATTTAGGGTTTCCTCTCGGATTTGCCAAATCTGAATGAATCCATGCAGTGTAATGGTAATTCGTCCTTGTGGATAAGGTTGTTGGATGTATTAAATCGGATCGGATAAGATGATGGCCTTTCAGATTTGCCAAGTCTGAGAGCCCCACAAAATAGTGACTCTCGAATTTGGCAAATCCGAAACTACGGGACTATAAAAAGAAAAAGTTGCAGCTTCCCTTCAGATCGAAGTTTTCAATTTTGGAGGGTTAGGGAAGGTTGTCGCCAGAGTTCTGCAGGATTTTGGACGCACATTACCGCTAATTCGTGTGGAATCGTTATTCTAACGAGGTTAGTCATTAAATCAATGTTTTTTTAGTTGTTTTGTTGTGTATTTATGTTGTTTTGAAGATGGAAGATTGGTAGGGCTTAGGAGTCATGATTGTGAATGTAATATGGTAATGTAGATGTTGTTGTTGAGTTTATAGGCTAGGATTTTTGTTGTTTTAAGAATTGATAAAGGTTAATTTGATTAATTTGGATGTATTTAGTTTGTATGGATAATTGATAGAATTAAGGGATAATTTGTATGAATAATTTAATGAGAAAGGAGTTGTTGTTGTTGTTGTTGTTTTTTTGTTTTTATAAGGTGAGAATTGTTGTTGTTTTTTTTTAGTTGAGAATTGTTTTTTTTAAGGTGAGATTACGATTAATATAGTTAACAATTTTTTTGGTCCCTTAATAAACAGTTAGAATGTCCGCGCACGGGCCATACATACTTAATTTGTTTAATAGAAGCAAGTATGTGATAGAAAATGGTGTAGTGAACACATTTGAGAACAAGCCGGACGACACTCTTGTTATTGATAGTAGGTTGTCATATGATGAGTTGATTGGTTTGATTTGTGTGGCGTTCGGTTGGAATCTTGAAATAGCTAGGAAACTCCACATTTCGTTAATCTTTGTGACTCACGGTGTAAGGCTCGCCATGAAGATAAAGAATGATTCACATATTGGGATCATCTACAACTCGAGCCAATGACAAGTGTGGATTTGTACATAAACACGGAGGATATTACTAACCAAGAAGATGGAAACAATCATTATGGTGGATCTTTCTTTGCATAAGAAGATCACATGTATGAGGGTGAACAAGATGGTCCAAGGCAAGAACAAGCAAGTATTTCAGGGGTTCATGAAGAAGTTGGTGGAAGTTTATTTACCGACGATGATCCCATGGATGAGAATGATTTTGACTACGTACCTCCAAGCGAAAGCTAGAAAGAACGCGATCCTAGTGATGATGAGGAAAGTGATGATGAAGATTTGGTGAATGAAGAAATGGAACTAAATCCATTTCCCTGGCGCCATGTGTATAAGGAAATGGGTGATTGGAATGTGTCGTGGGTTTACAATGATGATCTTGATATAAAATTGTGGGACGAGACTCCCGAAGGGATGGGCATTAAAGTTTGTTTCAAGTCTCAAGGAGAAGCGAAACATGCCTTGAAGTTGTGGAACATCCACCATAAAAGGGAGTTAAAGGTTATCACGAGTAATCCTAAGACATGGGCGGTTCGATGTAGGACATTAGATTCCCCTCCCCCGAAGATGGCGAACCTATTTGCAAATGGAGGATCCACGTGTCACTAAGAAAGCATGGGTTGCATCAAATAGTCAAATGGTGGTCCGCACACAATTGCATGACGGTGGTTAACGATAATGACAACCATTGTGCGGACTCGACATTCATTGCTAGACTAATCATGAGAAAACTTCAGAAGAACGTGGATTACATTGTGAAAGATGTGCAAGAAGATGTGACGGAGTAGGTAAAAGTTGATGTCCCCTACAAAAGGGCGTGGTACGGGAGGAGGAAAGCCATAGAGGTGGTTTATGGCGATTGATAAATGTCAATTAATTTGTTTTAATTATTACTTGTATTGGCATATAATAACTCGGGCAAACTTGATGTGTAGGTATATTGAAGTACTTAAGAGTACTAATTCCGAAACTGTAGTGGAATGGAAATGGAAGGAGGGACAAGAAGGTTGGAATATAGGAAGAAGGACTTTTAAATATGTGTTTTGGTCATTTGCACCAGTGATCGGGACTTTTAAGGAATGTCTGCCGGTAATTCATCAAATTAATTCTGAGGGTGAACAAAATCATATCTACAAGGATTCCAACGATAAAGATTTTGATACAGAACGAGAATTGGAACGAGAGTCCTTTTACAGTGAAGTTTCTGCTCCAACATATCGCAATCGATCGAAAAAAGCTAAGGTTAGAGCAAAAGTTAGAGTTCGTCGATAAAATAAGGATATAAAAATTTAAATAACAAATGAAGAGTAAGTAGTACGACTTTTTTTTTTTTTTGGGAAATCACAGACATCTTATTAAAAGTATAACAATATTACACAAGTTCCTATGACATATAAGAGCTAGCTAGAGCTAACTTAGCTAACCAATGCACACTATCAACCAGTGACCTAGGAACTTTTGTCAACTTATGTTATCATTTGAGAAATAAAAAACTTAATGTCTGAAAACAGAGCAAGCATGCTCATTGGTACATCCAACTGTGCTTGCTTTACTGCTGCCAATACCTCATCCGTTTGGATGAGGTATTTTGCGATTCTCCTTCTTTGTGCTTGTTGGAGACTTTGAAGAAAAGCCATCCATAGATTCAGCTTGTAATGCTGTGAAAGTTCTAAACTTTTCACTTCCGTATGTGATCATCCTTCCTTCATTGTATAATATCTCCCACGGTGTAGCTCCCTGATTATCATTACTCTTAAATGCACCATCTATATTGATGATGACACTGGCTTCATCTTTCTGTACCTCAGTCAATTCAAATTCAGGTTCCTGATTTACTATATAGTCTCTACGATCTTTCATGCAGCTAAGAAAGAAATTGTAATCCATGTTTGCCTCTTGATAAGTTGTCTGTGGAAGCGGGAACTGGTTGTTCCAAACTACGTCATCTTTCCAGCCATATAGACCACGCTATAAAAAAAGACTATTGGATTAGACTATCTCTAGCACCTGAAAGAAGCCAGTCGTTCAACCATTCTCTAAAGGTGATACTTGAGCTCTGGCCCAAATTAAAGCCAAATGATGAAGCATGCTGACGAAGGCGAATCCCAATGGTGGTGAGTCAATGGTTAACTAGGTCGGAGCCTGCAAAACAGAGGCTAGCACTCCGATGGTAAAGTTAGTATAATGAGAGAAAGTAAATAAATTCACACTTAGAGAGAGAGTGAGAAGTGTCCATTCACCCCCCTAAAATAAATATCTTGGAGTATATATAATACTATTTAGGATATGTTCAAAAGTGGGACCCCTATAAGGATCCAGGACTAATTGGGCCCTTGGACCTGATCCACAGAAGCCCAAAATAATCCCCTATTAGACCTTAGCCGGATTTTGCTTCATCAAATGCCACGCTTGTAACTTTTATTACTCCCCCCATTTTTTTATATGCCTTTCTAGAAAATTTATCAAAACTAAGAAAACATTAATTAATGTAGTTAAAATACAAAAACACCCTTATTTATTTTCTCTACAACTTATCTTGAATATGTTGAGTTTGAACCTTTGCCAAGAAATTACAAGATGCCAGATTTCAAGAAGTTCACTTCCAAGGATGATCAACGGCCCGAGGATCGTATTGGCCCCTTGGAGTTAGAGTGCGGTGAAGTTGGACATAACCCTTTCTTGAAGCTGCTGTTATTCCCTTATTCATTGGCCAACATAGCATTAGATTGGTCCCGCACTTTGGAACCAGGATC